CGTAGCTTTGTCTGGGGATCCTCTCTGCCCAGAGGCACAGAGTTTGAACAGCTGGAGACGAATCTACCAACCGCCCCACGCGGTCAGAAGTGGCACAAGGCCGAATTTAATGTGGGGTATCCAAGCCCGTAGGCTCGGTCAAAAATTCCCCGTATAAAACGGGGTCGGGTAGCTGTTTCCCGAAACGAGACTCTGCCCTTCGACATAGCCTCGTCTGGGGATCCTTTTTGCCCGGAGAAGCAGAGAGTTAGACCAGCTGGGGACTAATCTCCAACTGCAGACCAACATACAGTATTTACTATTGTATATATGTGAATGTGGACATATCTATTATCGTGCGTAGGTATGTTGCAACACAAATAATTATACACAGCCTAGAAATCTAATATAACACAGTTGTTAATTAACATATTCATTATGGCAAAGATTTTTCATAACCATGACAAAGAAGCTTTGCTAACAGAACAATTTATTAATGGTAAAGGGATCACATAGTTAAAGTAATAAATTTAAGATGTAATAAAAAATAAAAAAGAAGTAAAATCGATTATTTTTTTTAGTTTACTTTTTAATTATTTTCTATTTTTTTTATTATTATTTAAGGATTCTCTATCCGGCTATCATTGATTCGAATTCCTGAGAAAGGACGTCACTTAAAATAATTATTTTAAAATCTTGAGAACTGACAATTTCATTATCGATACTTTGGTGACATACGTTTTTTTTTTTTTTTTTTTTTTGCTATTTTGATCATCTTGGGCAGACCCATACTCATTTTTAAAGAACAAAGAAAAGCGTGAGGAAGCAAGAAAGAGAATGTCATTGTTTTTCTTAGAATTATCATGATTTTTTTTGTCAATGTGTTTCAGTCTTTGTCATGTCGACTTCTGTGTCAATCAGTCGGGCACGGCTTCGACCGTTAAAAGACATCTCTTCACATTTATTCCGCTTAATTCATTTATCTATTTCTCTCTCTCTCTCTCTCTCTCTCTCTCTCTCTCTCTCTCTGTATATATATATATATATATATATATATATATATATATATATATATATATATCTCCGTCTATTCATTATCTATCTATGTTTTTTTGCCATACCTCTTTCTTTCAACCTTTCTTTCCATCTGTTAAAAGTAGATAACGAAAAGACTGAAATAGACAGCCAGATAGATATGCTATATATATATATATTACAGATAGATATGAAATGTGTATATATATAAAAACATTAGCCTGTTCATCTCTCTCTCTATATATATATATATATATTAAGACATTTTTATGTTTATACATTCTTTTTTATAGATACAAATATTTAAGTAAATGCTTTGTTTATAATAAACAATATTAACTGTTTATACTTTCTGAGTAAATGCAGTTAATACTGTTTATTATAAACAACAGCATTTACTGGCCTGAATGTCCGAGAAATTTTCATAGAAATTATGCGTCCTCCGACAGGAATCGGACCTGTATCCTATACGGAAGCGTCATATAGCCAGACGTGCTTTTACCGATTTCGCCACAGATAAGCGTTCAGTTAGCAAGCTCGATTTTACTGTTTTTAAACTACAATTCTCCATGATTTTCTAACGTACATTGATATATATATATATATATATATATATATATATATATATATATATATATATATATTATAAACAGAGCATTTTTAAATATTTGTATCTATAAAAAATGAATGTATAAACATAAAAATGTCTTAAAATAATTGTCGAACTTTGTCTCTTTCATAATATATATATATATATATATATATATATATATATATATATATATATATATATATATATTACATTAATCTTGAATCTGGATCAACGTATTTAAGCAGATATTTATTTTGTCTACATGTAACGATCAATTCATTTCTGTCTCTTAATAAGCCAGGATTATATACCTTTGTTTCTTATTTGCACCTGTTTGTATGTATCACAGTCTGTACGTATCTATCTATCTATCTATCTATCTATCTATCTATCTATCTATCTAGCTAGCTACCTAGCTAAGTCTGTTTATCTCTCTTTGTATATCTTTCTCTGTTAACATTTATTTATATAAGTCTTTTTATCTATCGCATCTGTTGATATCTATGCATCTCAATTTGTTCATATTTATCTATCTATCGCTGTCTACGTATCTACCTACATAGGTCTTTTCATAGCTTTCTGTCTATATGTCTGTGTTCATATATCTGTCTGTCTGTCTATCTTTGTTCATATATCTGTCTGTCTGTCTGTCTGTCTCTGTTCATATATCTGTCTGTCTGTCTCTGTTCATATATCTGTTTGTCTGTCTATCTCTGTTCATATATCTGTCTGTCTGTCTGTGTTCATATATCTGTCTGTCTGTCTATCTCTGATCATATATCTGTCTGTCTGTCTGTGTTCATATATCTGTCTGTCTGTCTCTGTTCATATATCTGTCTGTCTGTCTATCTCCGTTCATATATCTGTCTGTCTGTCTGTGTTCATATATCTGTCTGTCTGTCTATCTCTGTTATATATCTGTCTGTCTGTCTGTCTGTCTGTCTATCTCGGTTCATATATCTGTCTGTCTCTGTTCATATATCTGTCTGTCTGTCTGTCTCTGTTCATATATCTGTCTGTCTGTCTCCGTTCATATATCTGTCTGTCTGTCTGTCTGTTTGTCTCTGTTCATATATCTGTCTGTCTGTCTATTTCTGTTCATATATCTGTCTGTCTGTCTCTGTTCATATATCTGTCTGTCTGTCTGTCTGTTTGTCTCTGTTCATATATCTGTCTGTCTGTCTATCTCTGTTCATATATCTGTGCATCTCAATTTGTTCATATTTATCTATCTATCGCTGTCTACGTATCTACCTACATAGGTCTTTTCATAGCTTTCTGTCTATGTATTTATCTATCTCAAACTGTCCAGATCTATCTGTCTGTTTATATCTATCCATCTCAGTTCACATCTAACTGTCTGTCTGTCTGTTTGTGTTCATATATCTGTCTGTCTGTCTATCTTTGTTCATATATCTGTCTGTCTGTCTCTGTCTGTCTGTCTCTGTTCATATATCTGTTTGTCTGTCTATCTCTGTTCATATATCTGTCTGTCTGTCTCTGTTCATATATCTGTCTGTCTGTCTCTGTTCATATATCTGTCTGTCTGTCTATCTCCGTTCATATATCTGTCTGTCTGTCTGTGTTCATATATCTGTCTGTCTGTCTATCTCTGTTATATATCTGTCTGTCTGTCTGTCTGTCTATCTCGGTTCATATATCTGTCTGTCTGTCTGTCTGTCTGTCTCTGTTCATATATCTGTCTGTCTGTCTCTGTTCATATATCTGTCTTTCGGTCTATCTCCGTTCATATATCTGTCTGTCTGTCTCCGTTCATATATCTGTCTGTCTGTCTGTCTATCTCTGTTCATATATCTGTCTGTCTGTCTATTTCTGTTCATATATCTGTCTGTCTGTCTCTGTTCATATATCTGTCTGTCTGTCTGTTTGTCTCTGTTCATATATCTGTCTGTCTGTCTATCTCTGTTCATATATCTGTGTGTGCCCGTGTGTGTTTGTGTGAGCACGAGTGTGTAGGTATATCTGTTTGTGTTTGCCCGTCTGCGCGCGTGTGTATATGTCTGTGTGCGCCCGTGCGTGCGCATATGATTTAAGTATTCGTTTGGTTTCCTTTCCAGACATTTTCTCTCGATCTATGTTAAGTCTCAAATTGCCGAAAATCTGCACCGTGTATAATCTGTGATATCGCTTATTCTTGTTGTGCTTGAAAATTCATAACAGAAATTTGAACTCACAAATCGTCCTAACAGAAATTTGAACTCACAAATCGTCGATCTGGGGAATAACTGCAAAAAAAAACCCAAAAAAAAACAAAAAAAAAAAAAGATTAATAAATATACGTTTAAATATCAATGAATATAGGAAGTGATCGACTTAAGACAGAGTTCCCGCTGATGTCAGTTAAGAATGGATCAAGTTTTTTTTTTTTTTTCAGATCGTTTTTCTTGACGCCTAACCGTTCGTGTGATTAATATGGCGTCAGTCTAATGAAAAGGCCCGCGTTCCTACTGCGCATGCGTCAGTATGAGGGTGGGATTATTTTTACAATTCTCTATTCATTTTCTTTTTTTTTTTTTTAAATTCTTTATTGTTTTTGTTTTTTTTTCATAGTTTTAAAAAAAAATTCAGCCGTTTCTTTACCTTCTGTTATTGATTCTTTTCTGAGAACCCTTCCGTCATTCTACGGATTTTCTCATTGCAACTTGAAAAAAAAATCTATTCTTTCTTGTTTACGCCTTTCAAAACAATTCATTTTTGTACTGGTTGATTCTCCAACATACATACATACATATAGATAGATAGATATGAACAGACAAAGATAGATAGATAGATAGATAGATAGATAGATAGATAGATATGAACAGACTAATATAGATAGATAGATAAATACCGAACGGATATAGACAGAGAGACAGACAGATAATGACAGATAGATAGATGGATATGAACATACTGAGATAGATAGATAATGAACAGACTAATATATATAGATAGACAGAAGGATAGATAGATAGATATGAACGCACTGAGAATAGATAGATAGATATGAACAAAGATAGATAATGAAAAACATCATATAGATATATAATGAAAAGCCTGAAATAAATATGAATATAGATAGATAGATAGTAGTGACAAAACCGATATATATATATATATATATATATATATATATATATATATATATATATATATATATATATATAGGAAAGAGGTTATAGTAGTTCCAACGAGAGAAAAGTGTTTAAAATACTTTATAATGCGGATTTTTTAAAAACATATATTATGCTTTATTTTCAATAATTTTGCTACACTTCATCAGGCAGAGTCGATATTTCCACATATTATTAAAAGGAATTAATTTTTCTTATGTTTTTCTATGTCAAATTGTCTCGATAATTGGCATTACCATTTATGTGTGTCGGTGACCCAAATGTCTGTTTGGTCAGAGAGTTAATTCTTATCTATAGATTCATCATCTGCTGAGAGGTTTATACCCTACCCAACCTTAGCAAAACCTCTCAGAAGATGATGAATCTATTGATAAGAATTAACTCTCTGACCCCTTAACGAAGAAAACTAGCCTAGCCACTCCCACAATAACGAATGTTATGACGGACCATGCCTAAAAACACACGTAAACCAAGTGATAGCTTATTCCTAAAATTTCGCTTGAAGATGAAATGGGACTAAACACCTCAATTCAACTTAATTTTAATAATTATTTGGATGGTTTCGGCTCTCTTTTTTGAAACATGAGAACTCTTATGTAGCGAAGGAATCATATTTTAAAACAAAAAATATTATAATATATTATATATATTTATATACACACACTTTTCACATATATATGTGTATATATATATATATATATATATATATATAGAGAGAGAGAGAGAGAGAGAGAAAGAAAGCGAGAGCGAGAGAGAGAGAGACAGAGAGAGATAGATATAGTGTGACCTTCAATTACTGTGCATTGATTCTAACTAAAAAATAAATGATTTTAATCGCTTCAAAAAATTGACTGTGTATAAAGCTACCCTTATTGTCTACGTAAAAAACTGATGAAAAAAAAATCGCTATAAACTCGAAAAAAAAAAAGATAATCCGTAAAAATACAGCTCCAGAGTGTCCAATTTTGGAAACTTCTGCACGAAACAAGCTGTAAATAAGTAACTAAATTAAACATTATATATATATATATATATATATATATATATTTATATATATTTATATATATATGTATATATATACATATATATATATATATATTATATATATATATATGTGTGTGTGTGTGTGTGTGTGTGTGTGTGTGAGTGTGCGTGTCTCATTATTGTATCTCTTGTTAATAAGAGACAAGAATAAATATCATTTTTTTCTCTCTTTTGAGTCTATTTTATTTGTCTGCCAAATCTCTTGTGATTCTTCAATTTCCAGATTGTTGGCTTTCTTTCAACAACAATCAAGTTAGATTCTTTACTTTCGTGACATTAAAATCTTTCGACTTGATTCAATCTTACAGAAATGGCCGATTAAATGTGAAAAATGTCAAAAATAATCATTGAATTGCACAAAGAATTCGCTCTTTCAATCGTAATCGTAAAATCCAATCTAAAATAACAAACGCTTATCTATCTATCTATCTATCTATCTATCTATCTCAGTCTATTCATATCTATCTATCTATCTATCTATCTATCTATCTGTCTATCTATCTCCGTCTGTTCATATCTATCACCGTCTATTCATATCTATCTATCTATCTATCTATCTATCTATCTATCTATCTATCTATCTCCGTCTAATCTATCTATCTATCTATCTATCTATCTATCTATCTATCTATCTCCGTCTAATCTATCTATCTATCTATCTATCTATCTATCTATCTATCTATCTATCTATCTATCTCCGTCTATACATATCTATATATCTATCTATGGAACGTTCTATCTTGCTATCTGCTTATATATCTCAATATTTCAATCTGTCTGCCTGTCTACCTGTTCTTTCACATCTGCATCCTTCTCTCACTCTCTCACTTTATCTATGTGTCAATATTTTCCCCACACTCTCACACCCTTTCTCACACACTCAACCCTTTATCCTTGGATCTCTGATAAAATCTATCTATCTATCTATCTATCTATCTATCTATCTATCTATCTATCTATCTATCTCAGTCTGTTTATATCTATCTATCTCGGCCCATTGTCTGTCAGTCTATCTATCTATCTATCTATCTATCTATCTATCTATAAAATTAGCGTATGGGACAGGATTTCTATACGCTAATTTTATATGTTTATATTTTTCCATGGCCGTATAATTTTTTATCCTTTTCCCACTCCCTTAACGAGAGCGCCTCTTGATTTTGTCCAATGGGCAGAATACAGCGGCCTCTCTGTTTTGTGGGTTGGACTTGTCCTTATTAACATCTATCTCAGTCTGTTCATATCTATCTATCTATCTATCTATCTATCTATCTATCTATCTATCTATCTCATTCTGTTCCTTATCTATCTATCTATCTATCTATCTATCTATCTATGTCTCTTCATTATCTATATCTATCTATCTATGGTATATATCTCTATGCCAATCTGTTCATAGCCCTCCATATCGAGCTTTTCACATCTATCTATCTATCTATCTATCTATCTATCTATCTATCTATCTCATTCTGTTCCTTATCTATCTATCTATCTATCTATCTATCTATCTATCTATCTATGTCTCTTCATTATCTATATCTATCTATCTATGGTATATATCTATGCCAATCTGTTCATAGCCCTCCATATCGAGCTTTTCACATCTATCTATCTATCTATCTATCTATCTATCAGTTTTTTTCATATCTCTTCTTCTCACTCTCTCACTATAATTATGTCTCCGTTCACATCTATGTATGTCTGAATGTATGCATGTATCTTTTTCAATCAGTCACAGTTTTTCACATCTATTTATCTCCCGATATGTCTCTATTCACATCTATCTATCTATCTATCTATCTATCTATCTATCTATCTTGCACAGTCTGAAAATTATATATGCATGAGCAAAAATGGTAAAAGTTACTTCTCTTATACTGGGCTGAAAAAATCCCCCTAAAATCTTGTGAACATTGAAATCTAGAACGCTGCATAAAGTCATATATACATACTCACAGACAACGTAAGCCCCTGAAGATGGTCTCAGATGAGATTGAAAGTACTTGGGAAAATACAAACTATTTGAAAGAAAATTTTGGTATTTTTCTTAATCAATTTTCTAAGGCTACCAAGCACATGAACTCACTCGAAAGGATCACAACGAAAGCTAACAGACATGATATATCTAAATTATTTAATTAAACCCAAGTGATATATATATATATATATATATATATATATATATATATATATATATATATATATATATCATAATTAAGTAATTCATCGAGGTTAGAAATAAACGTAACCGAATGCAGAAAGAACTGGACGGCCGTTTCATCCTATATCTAAAAAACATCAACAGTGCATATCCACTACGTTATGACGCAAGCGTCATAACAACTGTACCAACGCCCTCGGTGACGAAGAGGTAATGAATTAAACTCGATATATATATATATATATATATATATATATATATATATATATATATATATATATAAAAAATTAGGCAGCATATGATTTACATACAAAGAATAATCACACATAGAATTAATCAGAAGTATCAATGCGATTATTGTCGACATCCATCGCTAGAAAACATAATATATATGCATTAAAATCCTGTTCATCCATAGTGCGAGTTTGATCCTTGAAGAAAAACTTGTTGTCTGTAGTTTTTCAGTTTATTTGATGTTAAAATGCTAGTACAGTCTTCCATCCATCATCAGCATGTGTTTTTTTCCTTATAAAATCAAAAACTTGAGACGATATACTTGTATGTCGACCGAAAGATGTTTTTTGAATATCTCCATCATCACGGTTGTTTTTTTCCTTATAAAATCAAAACTAAGTTTTCAAATTTTTTAACGATTTTATTTAATATTTGGATGATGTGGATTAAATCCATATTCTATTTTTATGTATTTCTTTTTATGTCATGGATGTCGCCAATAATTTCGCATTTTTTTTTATAGGAATTTTTTTATGATTAAACATCTATTAGGCAGCATATGATTTACATACATTATTCAATTTGAAAACATATATATATATATATATATATAGATCCTTGAAGAAAAACTTGTCTGTAATTTTTCAGTTTATTTGATGTTAAAATGCTAGTATACTTTCTTCATCAATATGTTTTTTTCCTTATAAAATCAAAAACTTGAGACGATATACCTGATATATGTATATATGTCGCCATTAAAAATATGTGATTTCAAATAAAAAATTATAATGTTTTATTTTATGAAAAATTATAATGTTTTTTTTTATTTATTTATATATATATTTGATATTTCAAATTGTCCTCAATTTTCATCAGAAATAACTGTTAGAAATAAATTAAAATTACTGTTTATTAGCAAGTAGCGTCCTTCGCGAGACGCGGACGTCACGTGATATGGAACGTCACTGTTCGGATATTCCTAACTTAAATCTAACTGTCATAAATATTTAAAACCATTTTTTACTATATCTAAAAAAAAATTAAAAAAAAATTGCTTAACTATTGAAATATTTATAAAGATTTAAAACACCTAAGTCCCTATTCAACCCTAGTTTATGTGTATTTAATTTTAAAATCCAATATGTTTCTTTTTTTCTGCCTGTGAATGTAGAAGTAAAATCGGAATCTATTAATAAACATTTGCAGTTTTCTAATGTGTGTCCTGATTGATTGTAGTGTTTAGCTATGGGGGAATAAGAGTTGTTTTGACCTCGTTGCTTAGTTTGCAAAATTTAATAATAGCTAATACATTTTCCGTACCCAACACCAATATCAGGATACAGCCACCTAACCTCACCTGCGATACCCATAACGTAATCTATTATTTATTCTGCAACGTATGTCCTAATAGTGGATATATTGGTGAGTCTGGAAACAATTTTAGATTTCGTTTTAATAACCATAAACAAAAAATACGTCAAAGGAGGGAGAAGAGATCCAATCCAGAGACTCTGCCCGACTGCGACTAATGTCAACCCATTCTACAGGAACGGTCTTCCCAAGAATATACCAAACTATCTGTAAATATTGTGTACACCTTCTTGTGTCAATACATTTTGTTTAAGTACATTTTGTGTTGTATTATTATTATTCCATGCTTTATTCAAGTTTCAACAATATATATATATAGACATCCGCACACAGACTGTTTCGCTGTGTCACAGTTCATTAGTGTGGCTAGACATCCGATTGATGGAAAATGAAACTAAAGAAATAAAATGGGCCAATGAACATACATCCCCAAGCTAAGTTAACACATCCGAAATATTACCATGAAAGTATTTATAATAAAATCACAGGTGGGAAAAGTTACGGCGATGGGAAAAGTGACTGAAGACGAGCTGCCTGATCAGGACCAATACTATAGCTGATTCTACTTTGGATTTTATCAAGGAAATCTAGTTCAATATCAGGAATACCGGAACATATGTAGCAGTAATATTCTAAGTATAGGCGAAGGATTGGCGTTGTTCTGCTCACCTTGTTATTCGTTATATCATGTGATTTTATTAGCAGGTATTATTATTATTATTATTATTATTTTTATCATAATATTATTCTGTTTCTTCTTTAGTTTCATAGTTAGCACGTTCGTTGTGCCTTGCTGTTACCTAAAAAAAAATATAGGCCTGTTGAATGGCTGGGATAGACTGGCAAACGATTGCTTGTCTCTTGCCGAGAAAAGAAAACAAAAAAACTCTATCAAAGACGCTGTTTGATTTTGAAGGAAAAAGAAAGAGAAATAGAAAAATTAGTTGGAAGGAGAAACCAAAAAAAAAAAAAAAAAGAGCCAAAAAGAAAGAAAAAGGAAAGAAAATAACGAAAGCTTAAGAAAGAAAGAAAAAAGAAAGAAAGAAAAAAGAAAGAATGAAAGAAAGAAAGACGAAAGAAAAAAAGAAGGAAGGAAAAAGGTAGACAAAAAGAAAGATAGAAAGAAAGATAGAAGGAAAGAAAAACTGAGAGAAAGAAAGAAACAAGAAAAAGACAGAAGGAGAGAAACACTTAGTGAAAGAAAAAAGATTGACAACAAGAAAGAAAGCAAAAAAGAAAGAAAGAAGGAAAGAAAGAAAGAAAGAAAGAAAGAAAGAAAGAAATAAACTCAGACAACAAGAATGAAAGACTGAAAGTAAGAAAGACGGACAAAGAAAAAAAAGGGGGAGGAAGAAAGACAAAGAAAAAAAATAGAAAGACAGAAAAATAGAAAGAAAGATAGAAAAAAAAAAGATTTACCTTGACTTTTCCCCGTTTTTTTTTTTAGCTCTGGAACAAATATTGCCCGGGGGTGCTGCCTGAAGCAATGCACTCAATTGCGTTATATGGATTCTGAAATATATATGCTTTAAATCTTCCGAGGTGGTATTTTAGAAGAATTCATGTACTTCCAGAATTTTGCTTTATCCATAATTACTCCAAAATAGATTGTGGGAATAAAAAAATTTAAAAACTTCAAATACCTCCGTCTATTGATTTCAAAGAAGGATATTGAACAAATTGGGAGAGGGAAAAATGCCACCCCACAAAAGCATTAAGTAACTGGAAAATTTCGTTAGAACAAAGAAAAGTGAATTGAACTTTTACGTAATATCAGTCCTCCTATATGATAATGAATGTTGGACAATCTCCTTACCAACAAAAAGAGACTTGAGGCAAAAAAGAAAAGGGTACTAAACGGTTATATAATATCAGTCCTCCTATATGGCAGTGAAGATGAAGAAGAGACTTGAGGCAACAGAAACAAAGAAAAGAGTGCAGAACGGTTATATAATATCAGTCCTTCTATACGGCAGTGAATGCTGGACAATCTCCTCACATATGAAGAAGAGACTTGAGGCAACAGAAACAAAGAAAAGGGTGATGAACGGTTATATAATATCAGCCCTTCTATATGGCAGTGAATGCTGGACAATCTCCAACAGAAGAATGTCATCGGACATTTTCTCGTTTTGTCGAGGAACTCGACAGGATCATTAAGAATTATGATACCTCAAATAGCAAATATGTGATATTTTGAGTACGACTATTGTAATTGTGCTTTTCCCTCCCTTGATTAGTTTGCACGACCGTTACCTCTTACCAATATCTCATGAATGATCTCCTTTTGGTCGCGTGGAAATACATCAGTTTGTTTCAGTGAGCATATGAAAGACAGAAACCAAGCCAAATCTGAGTCTTGTTTTTGCACGTAATCTAAATTGAATAGTCAAATATCAATGAGGTATGGGCTGGTAACGTTAAGCAGTTCTATCTTCCCTTCTTTCTTAAAAATGCTTAACGCCACCAGCCCATAGCTCATAGATAACCGTCTATTCCGTTTTGATTATGTGGAAAAACAAAGCCCATAATCAGAGACGCTACTTGGTTTCAGTGAGAAAATGAATGAAAAAAAGGTGGGACGATAGAAGTGTTTAACGGCTGTGTCAGCGAACTGATAAATCTATTCATTTGTACCCACTTCTTAAAATGATGACCAGCGAAAATCGAAACACAGTTCAGAGACGTCGCTTCGTTTCAGTCAGAAAAAAAAAATGAAAGAAAGAAAGGACAAAGGTAGATAGACGTGTTTTACGGCCGTTAACATAAAATATTTTCCTTTGTATCCCCTTACTTCTTAAAAAACAACGACTATCATTCATATTCATGATTGTTATTGCAATATTTTGTTAAAGTTGTTTTGCTCAATTAATTTAAAGATGCGATAAGTGAATTTGCAGGGTATATTTATTGTCATAGAACGCGCGATATGTTTTTTCAATCATTAACTGAAGAATTAAGATTCAACTACATATTAAAACAGGAAAGTCATCATTATCATGATTAGTATTATTATTATTATTATTAATTGTGTTTATATATATATATATATATATATATATAT